CACATCTATATTATTATATCAAGCATTAGCAGAATGTGATCCCATTTTTTGCTGTTATTTATAAATGAAGATTAGGTGGTTGCCCCATGGAGCAATAGCTAAAATGGAGTAAATACAGACAGATATATTCCTTATGAAATTGTTTAGTTCTGAAAGCAAATTGATAGAGGCACAAATAATATGCTGTAGTCTTATTCTGATACTTCTGATACAAGAGAATATTCTTTAAAATCTATTAAACAGATTTTAACACAATCTGCATAATTCAAATCTCCACATTTGTAGGAAAACAGAGATATGGATAACTTCAAAAGATACTTCGATATATATATATATAATTATATATATATAATTTACTTATATATTTGGAACAAGAACAGTTTAATTCATGTTGATAGCAAATGAAATTTGAGAACCAATGCTCAATTCTACTGGTACCTCAAGATCAACTTAGAAAGTTTTGATTTGCATCACAGTTTTCAGCAGATTGGTGTATAGTCACTGTAGTCACTACTATCTCTAAGCATAAGAAAAATTTGTTTACTTCACAGACTTTGGATCTGCATATGTATGATACCGTGTTTTCCCAAAAATAAGACCCTGTCTTATATTTTTTTGAACTCTGAAATAAGCGCTTGGCCTTTTTGCCATGCGCTCAAAAGCCCGATTGGGCTTATTATCAGGGGAGGTCTTATTTTGGGGGGGAAACAGGGTACATTGATAATCACTATCTTGATGGTTCATTAATTACAAATTTATGTAGGACAAAATTTTCATTACTTACTAGCTTTGACTCCTAAGCCGAACATCATGTTCAAAAGAAGTATAAATATTTACATGCCAGATATTAGTGATACATCATAAAAGATAAGCTTTGTGGCCATGCTACTATTATGGTGACTGCTGTTAATGCAGTTTGGCTGCTAGTCAGGATTTTATTTATTTGATTCTTTGTTTATTCATTAAATTTAGAAACCACTCATCTCCTTCAATTGAAGGTGTTGTATTAGGTGGATTTTTGCCTTAATATGACTTGATATTTTAAGCAATAAACTGAGGTGACCATTGCTAGGTCTATCAAGAAACAGGAGGAAAAGTATCAACTGTTCATAAAACATTCAAATTTGTATCCTCAGGGACCTTTAGAAGTCATAGAAGCTGTACAGCTTAGCTGTAACAAACAAACAAAAATAGAAAGATAAGTAGACTATCCTGTTTATCCTTCCAGGTTAAGAGAAGACTGACTATGAGCAAACTAGTTAGATGATGAGAAGACACAGTGCAACCTTTCATTGTAAGCCTGAAGTGTTTCTCGTGTTTGTGCATCACATGTGGCCTTAATGCATGATGACTTAGTCATGCAACCTGATCTTGACATCCAACTATATAGGATAGCAATCTGTGTGTTAGGAATGGAAATGAAGCAAGTGTAAAAGCATACAATATTTTACAGAACGTGCTTCAACGTATTTTCTTTGAATAGCATTATTAGATCATGTACTGTAATGACTTCCAGCATAATTGAGCTAAGTGTTAAAAACATTGCGAACGACATCACAGTTTGACTCTTAACTCTGTAAAAGAAAATAGGAATAATGCAGGAAGGAACTCTGACTTGTTCTGAGAAAGGATTTTGCACCTCCTCATCTCGGTCATTTTTCTTCTGCTGTGATCTCAGCATGTTATTAATTGTTAGTGCCAATATTTGCTGTGGTTTGGAGACATAAATAGCATCTGTTGGGATGCTTTGTTTGAGAGGGTTTTAATTATTCAAGATACAAGATTTAATGAAGAAGCAGATGAACCTAATCACCTGTCCTTCACCAAGAAGAACATAGTGGCATTTCCATCCGTTCTAATGAAGAAGTAGAATTATTGGGAAAAAATGATACATGGCAAATATGGGGAAAAACAGAAAGAAAATGGAATCCTGAACAATAGTCTTTTAGTGCTACTACAATGGAACATGGCGTGTGCTACTACTCCCTGATCCTTACTGTTAACGTTAAGGAACGTTGCTGCCATGCTGGTTAGACTGAACAAATAAATGTTCAGCAAATAGATATGGCTCATTTAAATTTCTTCAGATTCACACTTTCATGTGAGAAACTGGGCAGTGAAGATAAACTCCTAAAACCACTGGCTACTTAACAAATGCATGTCAGGCTGAAGTCAGAAAGTGATCCAAGGTACTTGATGTACAATGGAGCTATCTGTCAACATACGTATGGAGTGATTCCTTGGTTATCCCCCCAGAGCCACCTTGAGACACTGATGTGGATGAAATGTCAGGTATAAGATTTAAGATTTAAGCTGGTTTGCACAACACATTATAATATGGTTTGTCTGACTTTAGTTTTGCATGTTGTGTGAACCTGCCAATTATGGGTTATTGTAATTCCTTAATCCTTGATTAAAGTACAGTATCACATATGCAAGGGTGGGATTCAGCCGGTTCGGACCAGTTCGAGTGAACCAGTAGTTACGGCCAGCGGCTGGGCCCACCCACCCGCCCTGGCCCTATCCTGTCCTATACAATCGCCGTGTTTTTGACACAGCACGCATGAGCGCACTCACATTTTCAATTCTGGGTGAACCGGTTGTTAAATTATGTGAAGCCCACCTCTGCACATATGTGTGAACCCAGTTTATAAAATTATACACATACTCACTGGGTTCATATATTGTATTAAGACTTACTTTAGAACTTTTCACAATAAGGCAAAACCAAATACAACACATATTATTTTGTCCAGTGTGTCAATCCACAAAAGTGAAAGGATGAATTTGATGGAAGGTGCTGGGAAAATTAGGAACATCTTTAAATTACACACACGCACACTTACAAATCACACACCTATCACAAAGATGCACACACATAAATTATATACACACATATTTAAATTGCATACATTAAATTGTACACACACAAACGTTTATTAAACACAAGTACATAGTCCAATTCATTGTATTTCGATTCAACAAATTGGACTAGTATGAAGTAGCTAGAAAATTACCCAGAATGTAAAACTTTAGCAGAAATAAAGACACACCCATCTTTCAGGCATCGAGATATAATCCATGGAGGCAAGTTTTAATGCCTTTTGTATGTATACATGCCTTTCCTATGGTTTGTGGGAGGGCGGAAATGGTTTCAAATTATACTGAACCAAAGTTAAAGAAACAGGGAACTTCAGAGAAGTTTATAAGTGATAGGTTCTTAGAAGAAGAGGTCCATATTTTATTTATTAAATTTCTAGGCCACCTATCTCATTAGTAAAGCAATTCTGGGTGGCTTACAAGATAATTAAAAGTTAAAAATCCTAAAAAAAAAAAAAAGAATAAAAAAATTAAAAGTGAAGAACCAAGAAGATTGGCAGCCTGGGGGTGAGCATCTTCACCCATCAGCCACCCCCAAATGTAACACTGGAAGATGGCTTCCAGGCCTGACATCTGTCTTGGGACCCTAGGCCAAGCAGCAGATTAAAATTTTAGGCTGTTCCAGATGGGGTAGATCTCATCTCTGACAGGAGAACATTCCAGAATTTTTCCTTATTTGACAGCTGGGATCTAGGTTCCAAGAGGCAGGTTGATGCTTATTCATAGGTTTCAAAATAACTTGGTGGCTCCATTGAAAAAAACACCCCATAACTTTAGCGATAATCCCTGGCATTATGGGAATGTAAGAATTCCACTACTTTGTCTTTAATATGTATTAATATATTATATGAAAGAGGATTATTGGTGTTTCATATATATATTCATATATAAATTCATCATTTGTATCAGTTTACAAATTCAAATAATCTTCCAGCAATCAAATTATAAGAAAATCCTAAAATCACGAAATCCTTTCTAAAAACCTTCTCACATCACTTGATGGAGTCCTAATATATATAAAATGCCACTATTTATATATTTTCTTAAAACACTGGAGCTTGCTTTTAAATGCTCCTTTAAAAAAAAAAAGTAGAAATAATCATAAATGAATTGCCTCTTGTACTCCATGTAGGTTATTCTCCAACTACTCTAGAACTTATTGAGATAAAGGTGGTTGAACACATCCATCTAAATTCTTGAATGCAATTATACTTTTTAAAGTAACCAGCAAGATTTTTTCTGAGGGAAATTCTCCCATTTCCCTTAACTGAGCACTGAGTTCAGACAATGAAACATTTTTCTCATTTTAAATGTGCCGTGTTTTTTCCCCCAGGCATTCAGTATATAATTATAAGTACAGTTACAAATCTTAAATGACTTTTCTCAAGAGAATTATTCACCTTTTTTCCTTAAGGTCATTTAAAACTCCACTGCATCCTATTTTACCATCATAATTTGCTTTAACAGGCATACCACATATTTACCATTGGAGGGCAGTGTAGATCTTCACAGAATATGACAGTGTTCAGATATGCTTAAAATATATATATATTTATGGCTAACTGAGATATTGGATTAGGAACCTGGAACCTGGAAGAAATTGATAGCCTGATTCAAGTATAGTTGAAATTAATCCCAGTCCCTTTGCCCCTAATATAATCATGGTGTTTTTTTTTTTCAATCCAAATATAGCCATTTTTCTACTAGATTTTGCAACGAGTAGCAAAACCAGTTTCTAAACTGAAGTCACTACCCAAATGATCATAGTCAAGGAGCAATCTTCTTTTCCTTCTGTATCCCATACCTATTTGAGGACCCCAAAATATGACAAGAGTAGACACCATTTAGATTAGCAAGTGATCTTTTGCGAATACACTGTGAACCTACCCAATGGTTTTAGGCTGTTAACTCAGATCAAGTCAGGGATACTTTTAAAATAAGACTTTGAAACAATTGAGTGTTTCTGTCAGCATTTATCAATGCTTCAACCGTTAACCCTCTTGACTTAGAGCAGGCATTCCTCACTAAATCTCTTCCACCACCTGCCTTGTGTGTTTATTACTTACTAACCTTTTGTGTCATCTCTTTGTATATATGCCTAATTTATCAGTCTCTTGTAGATTGTCAGCAGCCTGCTGCCTCACTACCGCCACACGGCTCACAACTAAGCAGGAGGCAACGCTGTCAGACTGTCAGGTAATGTTCTGCTAAATCTCCTTTCTTCACCTTTTGGCTTTCTTTGCATGCTATAGTCGGTTTCTCATCACCCCACTTCCTTTGTATCTGTCATCCCCAACCCTAATTTCTACTCTGTCCTCCAACTGGCTGCTACCCGTATGTCTGGCAGACCCTTATCTGCCTTTAAAACAAACAAACAAACAGAAAAAGCAAATTAAAATTGAATCAAATTTAAACTTTTGTAATCGATGTGGAAAGATTCCCTGTATCCAAGCAGTTAATCGTATCTGCATGACTGCAGGAATCATGCAACAATATTAATATGTCATATTTAAAGAAGATAGTACCACTGGACAATAGATATAACATTGCAAAACTTAACCCATTTCTTCTGTAGATCTGCCTGCACCACTACCACAATCCCATGCAGATTATCAGATCCAAAGATTATAACAAACAAATTATAGGCAGTCATCAATTTATGACCAAATTGGGACCAGAATTTCTTTTTGCTAAGCAAAGTGAGTTGCACCCTATTTTATGAGCTTTTTTTTTTTTGCCACAGTTGTTAAATGAATCACTGCAGTTGTTAAATGAATCACATGGTCTTTAAGTGAATCTGGATTTCCCCAGGGACTTTGCTTAACAGTAGCCAACTAGAAAGGTCTCAAATGCTGATCACATGACCCTGGAATGCGGCAACTGTTGTAAATACATGCAGGTTGCCAAGCAACTGAATTTTGATCACATGATCGTGGGGATGCGAAGACCAGTCATCAGTCACTTTTTTCAGTGCCTTTGTAACTTTGAACAGTCGCTAGATGAATGGTTGTAAGTTGAGGACTACCTGTAAAGCTTAGGGCCCTAGGCAAAAGTGTTTTTTTTTTAAAGAAACAAGCACTGCTAAGTAAGCAAATAGGAATCTTACAGGGATTAGATCCATGTTTCTCAACCTTGACCATTTTTAGATGTGTGGACTTCAACTCCCAGAATTCCACAGCAAGGCTGCCTGGAGAATTCTGGGAGTTGAAGTCCACAGATGTGACCAAAGTTGGTCAAAGTTGAGAAACACTGGATTAGATCATTAAATAAACGTTTAGTTTAAGAAACTATTTAAGTAGCATCTGTGGTGAATCTGGAACTGAGCTGAGTTGAGGAGTGAAAAAGTTGGCTAGCCTTGAATTGCTGATGGGGAAGAAAATGGCAGAAAAATTATCTTTTCAAAGTTTCTCAGGGTGTATCTAGCAGTTCTGTAGAAAATACATTTGTCTGGCAAGATTCCTATCAATAGGTAATAAATACCACTCTGATCAGCTCCTTGAGTCGCCTCTGACAGCATCTTTCAGATTTCGTATATTTTCTTCTTCCTTTATAGGAAGGGCTGTAACAGAATGGAAAAGGAGATGCTGTGCCAATAAAGGAGAATATTTGTAGCTCAGGGTTGAACTGTGTGGTCCTTGGTGCTCTCTGAGCTTGTTTGTTTCCTTGCAGATGTTTCATTACCCAAACATCAGGTAACATCATCAGCATGTCGGCAAAAAAACAACCAAGGATCCCTCAAGATGCTATGCGTGAGAAGGCTCTAAGTTCTAGGCTCATCCTTTCCCGATAGAGCTGAGCCAGTGAAATTGTGAAAAGCTATTGAGAGTCAGAACAGGTATGGTTTAGATTAGATGGACCAGTTTGAGGTGGTATTAGGCAGATTCCTATTTGCATAACACAAAGCAAACGTGGAAAGAGTCGGGTAGGGATTGCACCATGAGAAAGGATGTTGGCTTTTCCAGTTGCCCTGGCCAAAATAAAGAACTGATAAAAATCCTCAAGGGCTTGTTTGTTCCCAAATAACATGGGATGAAAAGATTAATCCAATTGCTTCTGTCCCCTCTGGGCTATAATTTTAACTGGAACTGGACTCCTTGTGACTGCTTTAAATTGGTAGGCACACCTAGATCCAGTGGTGGGATTCAAGTAATTTAACAACCGGTTCTCTGCCCTAATAATTTCTCCCAACAAACAGTTTGCCAAACTGCTCAGAAAGTTAACAACCGATTCTACCGAAGTGGTGCAAACTGGCTGAATCCCACCACTGCCTAGATCGGAGCATGACATTTAAATGTACTACAGGTAGTAATCGACTTACAACAGTTCATTTAGTGACCGTTCAAAGTTACAAGGCCATTGAAAAATGTGACTTATGACCATTTTTCAAAGTTGCAACCTTCGCAGCCTCCCCATGATCGTGTGATCAAAATTCAGACGCTTGGCAACTGGTTTGTATTTATGACTGTTGCTGTGTCCCAAGGTCACGTGATCACCTTGTGTGACTTTCTGACAAGCAAAATCAGTGGGGAAGCCAGATTCACTTAACAGCCGGGGTACTAACTTATCAACTGCAACGATTCACTTAACAACTGTGGCAGGAAAGGCCGTAAAAAGGGGAAAACCTCACTTAACAAATGTCTCACTTTTGGGTAATACGTTATCCTTTTGCCTAATAGATGCATGAGACAGATCTTCTTAAAATTCACGGAGAGTTCTGTAACTTACCTGCCGGACATAATTGGCTTGAAAGGAACACAGGTGCACCAACCTGTGAGTTAGAATGTTAGAATTAGTTAGAATGATCTGTTCCTGTTTACAACAGACCAAAAGGGAAGGAAGGCAAAGCCCAGTCCATTGGTTTCCACCCATCATTAATCTTAAGAAATAACCTCATGCCAGAAAAAAAAAAATCTCCAATCTTTAGACAATAGACACTGTCCTTAGTGATCCATTAACTTCACTGCTTTATATATTTTCATAACAATTAAATTAGAAAGAATGCACTGATGATATTACCTAGTTTGGTAACGAAACGTCTCCAAGAAAACCACCAAGCTCAGAGAGCACCAAAGATTCCACAGATCAACCCTGAGTCACAAATATTTATTTCTATAAGCAAAAATAATTAATTTGTTAAATGTTCTAACAAATCATAAATTCTCTCTCTCTCTCTCTCTCTCTCTCTCCCCGTCTGTCTCTCCCTCCCTACCTCTCCCCCCCCTCTCTCACACACACACAAATTAAACACTGCAGTCACAACAAACTCATTTTGTTTGGCAGAGCTTGCTAGGAGAATTACAATGGTACCCAAGGAAATGAATACCAGGCCAGAACTGTTCGATTCATGCCACAACATCAAGCATAATTCCACACATATTCAAACATGGAACGGTGGTATTATACAAAAATGGATTCTAGCTGAAAATTAAGGGGGGGAAAATCTAATAATATGGAACCAGTGACAGAAAAGTGGTGGGTTCCTCTTCACTGGATAAATTCAAACTGAAACTGGAAAAGCCATCCGGGATAGTATTCCAGAGCAGGATTAAAATAAAAAATAAAAAAAATCATTATGTCAGAATGGGAAATTAGTATTGCTCTTCTCTATTTCCAGCTACCTGATCAGCTAATCAAAAAAGCCACAAATTTTGTAATCTAAAAATTCAGTTATCTTTATTCTTATTTATTAATTCAAATATTAAAAGTAAAAATAAGAATATGGTGTTTAGATGAGCTACACAGCAGTCTTCAATCTATTGTATTTATTTCTTAACACCATACTAATTTTTACCTAGAGATTATGGAAGTTGAAATTCAAAACATCCGGAATGCATTGGTTGAGAAATACTATAAGATGTATCTTCTAGTGTTCTCTCCCTGGCCAGAGTTTATGTTTCTTCTAACTTTGTAAATAAATGATACAAATTAGGTGCAACTTCAGGGTACAGTACTAGTTAAACATTTTATTGCTTACTCACTTTTATGAACTTGTTTTCAAAGATGCAGTGAAAATGATATTTTTTTTGTACATTCTCTAGTTAATGAGTTGGAAATCTTGTTTAGAAATACTTGGTTCTTTTCTAAGATAAAGTAGTCCCATCATAATCCTTGAAGGGAATTGGACTGATGCATTCCTTTCCTTTTGTAGTGAGTCAGATTGTTTTGTGCAATGTTCTTGTTTAATGGTGGGATAGGAGATACTTTATGGATAGTGACTCTTAACTATTTCCATGCTTATACACCATTCCATAAATGGGATTGATTGATTATACCCCATTAAGTTGTTGTTGACTCTTGAAAACCACATAATTAGATTTTCTCCATTATGATCTGTACCTAACCTGATTTTTTTTCAGGTCTTCCCATACATGTAAAATTCTAGAATACTTCAAAGGATTATCTTATTTATTTATTTATTTATTGGTTCGATTTATATGCCGCCCTTTTCCGGAGACTCAGGGCGGCTTACAATGCGTTAAGCAATAGCCTTCATAATTTTGTCTATACCTGCTTAGTAGGGCTTTCGGGGGCCCCCCAAGCGGTGTTCTTTTTTATACAAAGTCAGCTTATTGCCCCCACAAACCAGGTTCTCATTTTACCTACCTCGAAAGGATGGAAGGCTGAGTCAACTTTGAGCCTGGTGAGATTTGAACTTGCAGTAATTGCAGGCATCTGGTGTTACTTAACAGTGCTTTAGTCTGCTGCGCTACCAAGCTTTTGTTAGTGCATTTGCTTTGAAATGTGATTTTCTAGCATGAGCTATTTCCTGCAATTTTGCATGAATGCTCAGGGAAGTTTATTGCTCCAAACGTGGACAATATTGCTGCTTCAAAAATGTACCATACTTATTTATTAGATAAATGCCACTGATAGAACTCCAAGCATGATACTGAACTGCAGTCTCATTTGAGAATTTCAAAACAGTAGATTGTAAAACTGTGATGGCGAACCTATGGAACGCGTGCTGGAAGTGGCACGCAGAGCCATCTCTCTGGGCATGCATGCTGTCGCCCGTTGCTCTTCTGGGTTCCGGTGCACTGGCTAGTTGGTCTTCACACGCGCATGCATGCCAGAAACCAGAAGACCAGGTGATCGGTGCACATGCACGTGTTGGAAACCGGAAGATCATCTTCCCGGCGCATGCATGCACACTGGGCGGCTGCTCTTCCAGGTTTTGGCACACATGGGCGAACACGCGCATGTTCCTGTTTCAGCACTTGGTGCTGAAAAGGTTCGCCAACACTTAGAATAGAATAACAGAGTTGGAAGGGAGGTCTTCTAGTCCAATCCCCTGCCCAGGCAGGAAACCCTACACCACTTCAGACAAATGGTTATCCAACATCTTCTTAAAAACTTCCAGTGTTGGAGCATTCACAACTTCTGGAGGCAAGTTGTTCCACTGATTAATTGTTCTAACTGTCAGGAAATTTCTCCCTTAGTTCTAAGTTGCTTCTCTCCTTGATTAGTTTTTCACCCATTGCTTCTTGTTCTACCCTCAGGTGCTTTGAAGAATAGTTTGACTCCCTCTTCTTTGTGGCAACCCCTGAGATCTTGGAACACCTCTATCATGTCTCCCTTAGTCCTTCTTTTCATTAAACTAGACATACCCAGTTCCTGCAACCGTTCTTCATATCTTTTAGCCTCCAGCCCCCTAATCATCTTTGTTGCTGTTCTCTGCACTCTTTCTAGAGTCTCCACATCTTTTTCACATCGTGGCGACCAAAACTGGATGCAGTATTCCAAGTGTGGCCTTACCAAGGCATTATAAAGTGGTATTAACACTTCACGTGATCTTGATTCTATCCCTCTGTTTATGCAGCCGAGAACTGTGTTGGCTTTTTTGGCAGCTGCTGCACACTGCTGGCTCATATCTAAATGGTTGTCCACTAGACAACCATTTTTGTGATGTCCACTGTTGTAAGACATCCTATTGCTTGGCAAATGCTTTTTATTTTTATCTGCACAATAGCTATATGATTGTATTCCATAATTAAACTTCCAGAATCTTAGCTGTTATATAGGCTCAATCTGAGTCAGTCACCAGACCAAAGGTTTATTCTTCCAAGCTTTTAGGCTCGTGATGGAGCCCAATCTCAGAAAACTTCTCTCTCCAGAATGTGTGCACTGTGCTGTTCTACACATTGTATTTATATGGTGCCTGGTTGTATATGGCTTTTTAGCTGTTATGTTTATTATTTCAAGATATTTGTTCAAAATATTCTAAGGAACTACAAACTAGGTTTTTTAGCCTATCTTGGATATGATATGACCTACTGAGAGAAGACTATGTTCCTTCAAAATAACTTTTGCTTCAATAAGGAATGGGCAGAGCCTCTTTCAATTGTTCGGCGAAATGGCTATTGCTCTGGAGTCACTCACCAAGTAGCTAAAATATTAAACATTGATGGACATTTCATCACTGTAATTCCATCCTTTAACACTGTATATCTGTATTTGAGAAAACCATATTTCTGCATATTGCACGGTTGTTAAGGGACAAAAATGTACATTGGGGGAAAAACTGGAAGATGCATTTTGAAAAGAATTTTATTTTGCACTGTAAAATTGTTAATTGGTTATGTTGTTCTTGATAACTATCCTAAATTTTTATCTTCATCTAGTTGATTTAGATTATCCATTAGATCATCCTTAGATAGCCATTAGATCATCCTTTTATCATTTGGACAAAAGCAAACTGTTACACTAATGCATTTTTAATTTTTCCTCTCTATTCCTTTAAGCTTGCAACTTTATGGCATGATAATTTTAGCTCTGCTAATTGTTATGTTTGTGCTTTAAAAATATTAAATCAGTGGGAGCTTGCTCCAGACTGCTAATTCTCTATTGATACTAGCTACTAAGAAGCAGCAATCTATTTCCATCCTCCAGTGATGGGAATCATAGAAAAATAATGGGCAGGGGTCTCACCTTGGGAAGAAACAAGGGTCAAATGCAGCCTGGGGATTGTTTACCTGAGTCTTAAAATGGTGTGATCCATGATGTCAACTGGTCTTTCTAATGGTTAGATTTCCTTGAAGCAAGTTTTGCTGCAATAGATCTATGTATTTGTATTGTTTTTACTATGTAAGCAAGAAAAGAAAAAGGAAAGACAAAGGAGGGAGAAAACAGTCCACAAAAATATGCTAAACAATATTTCAGATATATTATTGTCATGTTGCAGGATTAACATTTTGATGTTTTTCTGTAATAGAAAAAAAGAAATTAAGTTTTTAAACTCAGACATACAGTCTACACTCCAAAAATGCTCTAAATAGAAGTCCTGGTGGCAAAATGCTTGTTGAAATATAAAAGAGAGTTTGTCAGATCACTGGATTAATCATTGAGAATTTGTTTCATTTCAACTTTGTAGTGAAGATAGTTTTGTAGTCATAAATTATCTATTTCTGCAATCCTGTTAGTTCCTAACCCATTGATACACAGTTCAGAATTATAAAATTAGGCTTGGAAATCAATGAATTTTGCAGAACAAAATTAATATGTGACTTAATTGCTTCCAGAAGATATTCCTGCACCCATAAATGTCCTTCTGAAAAGCTATGCCCAATAAATCCAAAATAATGCGAATAATTTAAAATGCCTAGAAGTATAACATACAGATCTGAAGCAGACATTTCATTTCCATGCATCTTTGTACCTTTAACATCTAATTTAAAGTGTTTTAATTGTCTCCAAAAATAAAAACGTTACAGCTATATTTTTTTGTGAAGAACACGCTAAATCTTTTAGGGTAGAGCAGGGTCTGAAGAGTTCTGCCCAAAATCTATACGTCAACAGGTGTTTCAAATAAAGCTATTGCCACTTCATAATTTTTGGCAATAAATGATTCTTGATTGCAATATATTGATAATAGATTTCAAAATTGTTGATACTCCTTGGAATTCTTGGAACAGCAAGAACAATAAAAACGCTTATTTACAAACAACTAATTTTGAATGTTTGGGCTAAGTGACGGGTGTCAAACTCGCTGTGTCATGTTGCCGTCACGTGATGTTTTGCACTGTTTTCCCCATTCGCAGAGATGGGGTGGGTGTGGCCTGTACATAATGCATCCAGCCTGCGGGTCGCCAGTTTGACATCCCTGGGCTAAGTCAACCTTCCCATCTATCCCAAGATGGTTTAAATTAAGTTTACAACATATAATTTCTTCTGGTTTCATTGTAAATATGGCGCTGATGGCTTGGTGTTTGTCTTCTACCATATTTTCCCGAAAATAAGACTCTGTCTTACATTTTTTGAACCCTGAAATAAGCGCTTGGCCTTATTTTCAGGGAGGTCTTATTATTTTGGGGCGCGTGGAGCAAGACAGGGCTCCTGTTGCCATCTTATCTGATTTCCAGCTCTGCCTCCCTAACCCTAACCAGAGGAAATGGCGGGGACCGGCTGCACATGCAGTTAAATATTTTCGGGAAGGGTTTATTTTCAGGGGGGTGCTTATTTTAGTGCATGAGCTCAAAAGCCCGATTGGGCTTATTATCTGGGGAGGTCTTATTTTCGGGGAAACAGGGTATGTGCACGTATGGTTACTTCCATATAATTTAAGAATTACAGATATATGCAGAATAATTAAAATACCAGGAAGGTGCAGAGCATCAGCTGTCTTCATGAAAAGAGTTTTCTTCTTTGCACCATTCTTACTTTGACGTGTATTTTAAATAGCTACTTTTTCATTCCAGTCCTGATGTAGCTCTTCCAGAAGAACAGCCACATTCCAGCTCTCAATATACCCCTCCTGTCAGCTGTCTACTTAAGCCTCCTCCTTAACATCGTGCTTCATATGCAACCTAAGAGTTTGGGGGAAATCTCACCACATGGACTGAATTCGAGTTCTTACAGCAAAGGAACAGTTTGTATCGAGCATGACTGCCTTCTTGCTGCTGCTGAGTCCAAACACCATCTAAAGGAAGGCATGTGGAAACGCTTTAAAGCACAGTGCCCAGACTGCTGAAAAATCTTCAAGGTTCCTCTGTGTGCATCATCTGATCAAAACTACACAACGGAAGTCAGACTTGTTCCTTCCAGTTGTTTGGCTAGGACTACTAATGTGCTGGGAACCTAGACTCCTACCGAAGCAAAGCAAAGAAAGTATGCTACCAATCTTATTTTGCCCATTCAGCTCAAGCTACTGACTCCATATTTCTTTCTGTGGTTTAAATGGCATTATATATATATTTTTTTCTGACATATTTGCACCAAAAAGTATGGTTATTAGAAATGATGCGTGGATGGGTTGTTCCACTTTTCTTTTTAAAGTAATACAGAGATAATTTACCTTTGAGATTTTTTTTTGTTCAGTTATGATTTGTTTTTATTTTTTTTAAATTTAAAAATGTATATATATATATATATATTATTTGGAGATAGCTTGCCTTGGGCAAAATGCAGCCTGGTGTTTTGTTTTATTGCACAACATTGTAGAAGATACATTGAAATGAATGTGTACTGGGGGGTGGGGGGGAATTGCAGAGGAAGTTGGGTGTGCCAAAATTGCATCAAATTAAATAGGCACACAGTGAAGCACTTAAATTGCATTGATTTCAAGAGAATTCTGGCATGCCTGATTTTCTCTGAACTGTGTCTTTGACTGAACTGGTGGTACAGAACTCTGCTGCACTGGTATTGTTTACACAGTTGTTTTATACAATACTGTATTAGCTGCTGGTTCCTTTATACCTTCAACCTGATTAAGCCTGAAAAAAGGGTTTTATTGAATAATATATGCATAATTATTTCCTTGTGCTTATTTTTGTGTTTCAGGGTATCGTTTTGTTTTAAGGATCTTTTCCTTTTTTTTTCTGGGCAAGCTAATGACTTGGTGCTTTTGTTTCAGTTTTACTGTTTGGTATCCAGACCAAAAAAAAAAAAAAAAATCAAATGAACTTGAAGTAAACATACTGAATTTTATGATAATTGAAAAAAAATGCAGGATACGTTTCACTTTACTCCCAAATCCAGTATTATCAGACTAGGGCCTTCCTTTGGTAAAACCAAGTGGTGGTGGGATATCAGATGATCAAAATTAGTGCATTTACTGGGGAATTAAGCAAAGGAAGTGGGATTGGTATGTTGGATTGAAGAACATAGGTTTACATTCTTGCTTTAAGGGATTGTCTGAACTGTCAGCTGTTTTTATTCTAGCCCATTCCATAACAAATAACTCAGGTCAGGGTACACAGGTTGTTCCTGCATTGCTTGGCATTCTTCGTTCAAGAATTTTCCCAATAAATTTTGAGAAATGCTGGGTATGAAAGAAAATGAAGGATAATTACATTGTTTTGCACAATGCTCAGAAGCAAGATGGCTTACTTGCAAGATTTCAAGTTATTATTTTGGGCTTTCTGCTGGGTCTCTCAGTTATACTGTTAACCATTTTTCTCCTGTTAGTGGAATTCTTATTCTGAGTCAGATAGCCTTAATACATTATAATAAGGAAGAGCGGAGTAGATCCAGGTCCCTTGGTTCCATCTCTGCAGTGGTGATATGAATTACAAGACAGAAATTGTAAGATATCTGGGGAAATTATCCATTCTGAAAGATATCAGATCAGCTGGAATAACTTGACATCATCCCCCCTGAATATTAAAGAAAATGACCCTTCTTAGAATAAATACCAAAAAGAGGAAGGAGGAAGGGGGGGGATCCTCAGCCAAGGAAACCATGAAGTTTAAGTGGTCATCTTTGTGCCTAATAATAAGTATCATTGAAAAACAAGGTGCTAAAAACAGGACAAGCCTAATCAGCAATCGATTTAATGTGGAACAGCTGATGTTTTGCCAAGAAACAGTGGTTTAAGTTACCAATGAAATCCACAAACTTGAAAGCAACCACCAGTGTCCTAGTGACAAGTAGTGTGGTAGGGAATTGATTAGATGGAAATAACCATTGAGTTTAAATGACCTCTATGTGACAGTCCAAATCATATATAGCTCTGTTGCTAGAACCGTAGGAGCTAATGGCTCTCGTTTAATGTGTTTCCACGTTGCTTATCTTGTGCTATACTGAACATTTCAATGCTTCACTTCATATTCATATCTAGCGAGGGAATATTTCTGCAGCTCCTAGGGTTGCTGTTGCTAACTTTACATTGGGTTACATTGACCGTTAGCCGTCATGCAGACGTTTCTGGCTGAATTGAGTGTTCCTCAAGAGTGCCAGGAACTTCAACCATTCATCTCACTTTAACAGTCATCCTAAACTCAATAATGTTGTTTTTGAACTGGTGGGATCTCCATCCAGGAGTAGAAGTTGCAGCTAATGTGGGTGAACAATGAAAAGAGTCCTGTGGAGAGTTTCGTGGTGGTTTTGCTTGTGGATAATGCAAATTAATTGATGCATATTGTTTTGCAAGAGAGAAGCACATGATTTCTTAGCCAGTGAAATCAAAAGGCCTTAAAAGTGCTTAGAAATGATTGGATCATACCTTCACTTTGATTTGTATTCTATTAACAAATGGTTTCAACTGACCTAATGTATACCTCAGAATATCTGTTAAATCAAACTGTCTGTGTAACTGAGCTGTGACTATATAGGTCTTACAACATATGCTATGCTACAGTGGCAAATCTCATTCTTGCCATTTTTGGTACTAATTTTGCAAAAAAAAATAATTAAATAATTTCAGGCTGCAGTCCTATGAATGCTGACTTCGGGAAAAGTTGTGCTGAACAGTAAATAAATAAAAATGGAATTGCTTGGACATAAATTTCACTTACCGCTGTACAGATTGTGGGCTCATACCTGAGTAACTGTGCTAAAATTTCACATTTTTTTAAATATAGGTTATACTTCATAGCTGGAAACAACACCTCTATTATCTTAATGAAATGTCCACAGTATTCAAAATACTGGAATATACAGTACAGTCAGCCATGTCTCCCAAGCCTTTCTTTTTTAAATTTTGGTGAATAATTTTAAACATTTGAGTATCAAAAGTATGGGTCTAGTCCAGACACAGACAAGCATGCGTTTTCCCACTTAAATCTAAAAACAAATGAGAAAGAATGTACACAGTACATTCACAATACGAAGAATAATGAGGGGAGAGAGTCTGCTCTGTATTTTGCACATATGTGCACATATTTAAATTGGCTTAGCTGGACATGGAAACATCCAACATCAATCTTCACATTTAAGATGTGGATTTTTGTACAGCTTCACTTTTTTTCCTGTCTGTAGCAGTGGTGAATTTGTGTATTAAAAAAAAGAAACATCCAGATTTTTACTATATGTCAAGTGATGAATTGCTCAAAACTCAAGATCTAGAAATTCCTTAAACTAAATGAGAAAAATGACAGAATATTACAAAGAAAATAATGGTATTCAGAAGGCCTTTTAGTAAAAAAAAAAAAAAAATCATAGTTATTCATTCTTTGGAAGGAACCTTTTAGCAATGAAAAAGTCCAAAAGGGAATGTTTTCTAAACATGATTATACTCTACCCAACCTTTTTTTGCTTAATTGAATTTTACTGGAATTAATAACATAGGACTAAGCCTAACTGCACAACTGGAGAAGAGTGATTCTTTTATTGTTAGCGTCTAATATTATCCTTTTATCAGTAAAGCCAATAAAGCCTCAAGTTGTTATCTAATCTCTAACAAAGGTACATATGATTCTAAAATTGGTTCTTATATTTCATGATTTGTACAGCTATTCCATTTTGAATTATTTTTCCTTCGTTATGAAATATTTGTTTTAATGTTCCAAGTGCTGAGATGCTACATTAAAAGCACAGTGATTTCCCTCCTTATATCTTGTCTTAAAAATCGTGTTTCGTTCTTCAGCTTTTTCTCCAGTTTTCTATCTGTTAAAGCTACATGAGGCAGAATATTCAGAAATTTTCTGGAATTTTACTTTTTTTTTTTTTTTTTGAATAATCCTGTGTGTAAAATTTTAAAAAAGCAATTAATTGCATTGGCCTCAGGGCAGAATGCATCTGAATATGCAATATAATAAAAAGCTTGCATGACATAATTTCATATACCCTTTTCAATCATCTATAAACTAGAGGATTTTTATTTCATGAAGATTCCTCTTTCCCTTTGGAAATGCAAGGCCAGTATAACTTCATCAAGAGCCATATTACCTAAGACTTCCGTCTATTTTAATTTCCCTTGTACAGCTCTTGAAAATCCTCTCTATTAAATTTGAAGGCAACATGGTGATAACTGACAATATAGAAATGAGGGGGGGGGGAAATGTGTATTACTGTGATTGTTATGTTAATTTGCTATAAGACTCTGGATGTATAGGGGCCTTGTTTTTCAGATAGCATCTTTACCTGAAAATATATCTGCTGCTCATTATTATGAGGCGGTGCGATGACTCAGCAATTAGGACACTGGGCTTGTCGGCTGGAAAGCCAACAGCCCAGGTTCGAGACCCGAGCATCGTGCAATGGGGTGAGCTCCCATCTTCGCCTAGCTCCTGCCTACCTAGCAGTTCGAAAGCATGCAAATGCGAGTAGGTAAATAGGCACCACTTTGGTGGGGAGGAAATAATGCTCTGCGGTCTCATGCTAGTCTTCGGACAGCACTGGGTCAACAGCCCTTGAAATGGAGATGAGCACCAACCCCTATAGTCAGTTATGACTAAGGGAGTAAAGTCCGCAGGGACTCCTTTCCTTTCCACTATTATGCACTAAAAAACAGCAGTGGCAGTTTTTATATTTTGCAACATAAATAATTTGTTTTGTTGAAACTTTGACTTCATTATTAAAACTGTTTTGAAATTTGTCACAAGTGTTTGATACAAGTGGAATAATTCTGCTAACCAGCTATGTGAGTTTGGTGAGGGGGAGAAATAAAAATAATCTAGCTTTTAAAAATGTATTGATGGATATGGCTTTGTGTACCATGTCCCTGAATAAATACAAATGCACCTCACTAGTTTTGGATCTTGCGTTTCAAACCTTTTGGTTTGGCTGTTAAAGGATTAATTCATCTGATCCTTTGTTCAAAATACTTTAAATCCTGATGTTTTGTGACTTTTGTAATCTCTGAATGTTTCCCTTTGCATGAATGTTTCCTTAACTAATCAACCACAAAAAAAAAATGTCTTGTGTTATATTCCAAATGGTTTTGAAATGCTGGTGAAGTTTGTGTTAAACATGATTGTATACTTACATCTGCCTGCTGTAAAGGTTGGCTATTTCTAAACGGAACTGAAACTGTTATAAAATTTTGAGGTTGAATGATTATTTCTAGATGGTGAAGACAATAGATGGTCTCAACGATTTAAAGATTGAATGTTAGGAATTCTTGTGTTGCAACCACTGGTTTTAAGAAAAGTATATTGACTAATTCTCAATTCCAGAACCATGTGATTATGAAACCTCTAAAATAATTACCATGTTAAACCCTCTTCCATTCTAGTCTTTATATCTCTAGACAATCCTAGATGAATTGTTCTGAGAGGCAGTCATATGCTTGTACATGTTTGATATAATTCAGCTTGAACGGTTGGAAATTAAGACACTCCAGAAGGAATAAATTAAATTAGGAACTTATATATGATTCTTACTTACATCATTATGTCCAATTAAAATTATGATGTAATGCATAATTATCCCACTAAATAAATGGGCCATCTTTTGTTCACTGAACTGTGCTGTCCCTGCTTTAATGAGTTCCTACATATTCATGAACTAGCTCTCTGCCAACGAAGAAAGGGAAGGAACATCTATGCAAAAATCCATGGGACATCAGAATTCACAATATATTTGCAATACCTCACTAGATTATTTTATGTAACCAGAAAAATATATGGCATATATTTAATTGCTGGATTTTTCAGCTGATAGACCGATAAATCAAGCCACAATCAAAATAACACAGCTAATCCTTAATCCTAATTTAGACAGATTAAACATAGATCAATGCTGGACAGTAACAATCTTCATTGGATACCAATTGACCTTAAAAACTCAGAAAAGACTCAAATAAATACTGGGCAGATGAGTATTCATTGGAAAAGACTTGCAGTGTGGCAACGGGTGGAAACGAATCAAGGAGAGAAGCAACTTAGAACTAAGGAGAAATTTCCTGACAGTTAGAACAATTAACCAGTGGAACAATTTATCTTCAGAAGTTGCGAATGCTCCAACACTGGAAGTTTTAAAGAAGAGATTAGATAACCATTTGTCTGAAGTGGTGCAGAGTTTCCTGCCTAAGCAGGGGGTTGGACTAGAAGACCTCCAAGATCCTTTTAGACAAACATCTCATCTCCTTCTCCTGAGCTCATGTAATACAGGTTCATCTTGCAAGGAAACCCCTTTTTCTTGTGTAGGAGAAAATGGGGAGAAATTGCTTTCCATTGAAAGGCAGGACTTCAGCAGAGCATTGAATTTTAATCTCTTCTTTATCTGGCCAGCTGGAAAGAGCAGTTGGCAGAATTCAGCTCTAACCCCATCTTAATACTTTCAATATAACAATAGCAATAGCAGTTAGGTTTATATACCACTTCACAGCCCTGTCTAAATAGTTTACAGCAGGGCTCTCCAACCTTGGCAACTTTAAGCCTGGCGGACTTCAACTCCCAGAATGCCACAGCCAACGGAATTGAAGTCCGCCAGGCTTAGAATTGCCAAGGTTGGAGACCCCTGGTTTACAGAGTCAGCATATTACCCCAACAATCTGGGCCCTCATATATTCTTAACTGGTGAATTACAGAGCAATCAGCAAACATGGAAAAAATATGGACATATAAAGCAAGACATTAAAATGTTAAACTGCACCCATTCAAAATCAGTGAGAGTTTATGTATCAAAAGGATTGGAGTGAAAAACTGACTCTATCATCAGTAATTGGTGAACTGCTGACAAGGCAGGTCCCACCTCCAAGGGCAGAGAATTCCTGCTGAGTCTGCAAAAACTGAGAAGGTTCTTCGAAGGTAAATATTTCTGGGACCTTACCTGCTGGTGTTATTATATGAGAGGTGATGGTGATGGATACTTGACATTTATAAGGCCATTTAGAACCTTACAAATAAAAAAAGGTACTATTATGAGTACTTTAATTCAAAATATTTCAGATTACTAAAGTATATGGCTTATTTTATGCCACAAGATTGTAGATTTGCATTTAAAAGGAACAGAATGGGATGGAAACAGAAAAATAAAATAGTGATGGTTATTAGGTTAGCTATGGATCAGTGTATTCGGAAAACTGAATTATTTGAATAGAACAAATCATTGTGTTCAATGTAATTTAAAACCAAATAAAGCCACAGCCGATGCATTCACACAATATGCTAAGCCTGTGTTAATGTTAACTTTGGATAGCTTTCATTTAACATGTATGAAACCAACAGTTTTGTTAGTTTATGATTCAGTAGCCTCATTCCATAACCATCTTAACTCACAACTAATGAATCTTCCCCTTATCATAAAGACAAACAATGCATGTATCTATACTTATTGTTTTAGTTGATGTAGATGAAATTATGTCACACCATGTTTCTGTCTACTCTGGAAGGCAGGAAACTCTCCAAGAATTGTTCAAGTATGAATATTATACCAAAGATTTCAGGTAAGGAACGAGTTCTAAACAAGGGTTTGTGAAGACAGAATCTATATTTAAAATAAGAAGAAAGCCAATAATGGGGGAAAACACTATGAGACCGGGGTTGGGAAAATGAATTATTATCTTTTATTTGGGTGTGTCCCACAAAAGTTTAACAGGTTGAAGCATTATTAGAATGCTAGCAATAACCTGGTAGCACAGTCATTATGTGCATATTTCAGGTAAACTCTGTTTCAATCCTGAGGAAGCGTAAAATTAATTCAGCCTTCCATCTTTCGGAAGTCGGTAAAATAAGGACTCCGACTGTTGGGGGCGATATGCAAATAATGCCGACATTGTACACCACCCAGAGTGTGCTGTAAAAATGCTATGGGACAGTATATAAGGCAACATGTTATTGTTGTTACTATTCTAATAAATTTCCTAAATTAAAAAACCAGTAATCCATCCCAAGGGACGTGGTGGCTCAGTAGCTAAGATGCTGAGCTTGTTGATCAAAAGGTTGGCAGTTCAGTGGTTCGAATCCCTAGTGCCGCATAACAGGGTGAGCTCCCATTACTAGTCCCAGCTTCTGCCAACCTAGCAGTTAGAAAGCACGTAAAAAATGCAAGTAGAAAAATAGGGAACACCTTTGGTGGGAAGGTCACAGCGTTCCGTGTGCTTTGGCATTTAGTCATGCCGGCCACATGACCACGGAGACATCTTCGGACAGCGCTGGCTCTTCGGCTTTGAAACGGAGATAAGCACTGCCCCCTAGAGTCAGGAACGACTAGCACATATGTGCGAGGGAAACCTTTACCTTTACCTTTAATCCATCCCCGAATCATGTTCTTAAGCTTCAGAGTTAGAATTGATTTCTCCAATTTATGAGGTACATTCTGAAATTCTGCTAATGAACATTCTCTTCATTGTCTCTTCAATGCATTTATAAACTCAGTAAAAATTCCATGCTGTAGAACAGGGATCCACAAGCCCCAGGCTGCAGCCCACTACCAGGCCGAGGCCTGTTCGGAATTGGGCTGTCCAGTTGGGCTGGCTGGAGCACGCATGAGCGGTGGGCTGGTGGGCACTTGGTGCGCACACGCCGGCCTGCCATTCACACAAGTCAAGCTCGTGCACACTGGCCCGCCACTGGCGCAAGTCGAGCTGCATACATGCCGGCCCACCACTCACGCAAGGACTAGGGGCCACTGCTGTAGAATATTGAATGTGTGCATATTACATTTATTAAACATATCTGCATATTTTTAATTTCATACTTCCATTGTTGTAAGCTACTTTTGGAATCACAATGATAGAAAAGCAAAGTATAAATTCAATAAACAAATACATATACGTAAAATATTCTGCTAATTAGAATTAAAGATTCAAAGACTATTAGAAAGCATAAAGAACAACAGTCTAGGAATTTTGCTTAATTACCATTTTGGCTTTTGAAATGTCACTTCCAGAGTAGGAAATCAGAGACAGCCCTAGAATGGAAAAATCAGTGAGACACACCACGAATTCAGCAAAAAGGTATTTACAGGTATCATGAAATAGTTGTTCTATTGGGTGAGAATTTATCCTAGGATGCAAACATAATTGTCATGTAGTTTTCTTGTTTTGGCCAGTGCCAGATTGAATAAATTTGGTTTACTGGTTTACAGATCTAATTTTGGCTTACTGTTTCATAAATAACTTTTACAAAACTTTTATGACATTGATTCTTTATCCCAATATTTCTGTTCCATCATAAAAGATTTCTTCTAGGCAATGACACAAGTAGAAGTGTAGCTCTGCTAATATAGGAAGTCCTCGTCTTATGACCACAATTGAGCCCAAAATTTCTATTGCTGAGACATTTGTTAAGTGAGCTTTGCCCCATTTTACAACCTTTCTTGCCACAGTAGTTACTGTATTTTTCGGAGTATAAGATGTACCTTTTTTCCCCCCTAAAAGGGGGTGAAAATTTAGGTGCGTCTTATACACCGAATGTAGCCCCGCCCACCCACTGGCCGCACCCTTTGGCCTCTGCCTCCCAGCAATTTACCTCCTTGCAGCAAGCAGCAAGAAGAAACAGCCCGTTTCAGCTTCAGCACAGCCTAATTAGCACAACTTGATTGTCCCTTGGATTGGCCTCTGAGCTGTTGCGCAGGCCTCTGCTGCTTGCTGCAAGGAGGTAAATTGCTGGGAGCAGATTTTTTTTTTCTTGTGCTAATCAAGCTATGCTGAAAACGAAAATGAAAGTAAAGCAGGCTATTTGCTCTTTGCTGCAAAGAGGCAAAATTGCTGGAAGGCAGAGGCAGATTTCTTTTTCTTGTTTTCCTCACTAAAAAAGGTAGGTGCGTCTTATAGTCCGAAGCGTCTTATATTCCAAAAAATACGGTAAATGAGTCATTGCAGTTGCTACATTAGTAACATGGTTAAGTGAATCTGGTTTCCCCATTGACTTTGCTTGTCAGGAGGTCGTAAAAGGGGACAACATGACTCTGGGACACCGCAACCGTCGTAAATATGAACCAGTTGCCACGCATCTGATTTTTGATCATATGACCATGGAGTTGCTGCAACGGTCATAAGTGTGAAAAATGGTCATAAGTCACTTTTTTCAGTGCTGTTGTAACTTTGAACAGTCACTAAATGAACTGACTACCTGTAATATGTGAAATCTTTTTGAAACTGCATTTAACTATGGTTTACCGAATAAAATTAGCTAATCTAAACTATAATAATTAGGCTGAATAGATGAAGTTAAACTGATATTAATGTGACATTCCAATATATTGTAAATTTTGTCATAGTCATGATTATGGATGTGGAGTAGTAATATTCATCATTCTAAAGAGAGATGATAAAAATGTTTTCAATTATACATTTATTAATTTCTGAGTACAGAAAATAATACAGTATGCTGTTGAAAAATTACAGCTTAAGTCATTTCCATAAGACCCTTAAATATTCCTGCCATAATTTTGGGAATATTTATACAAGTATGGGTAAAAACTCCCTCTCTATAGAACAAGACCTGCGTGGACAACAAATTTGAATCTAACTAAGTTTTCCCTACTACTCATGAAATATACTGAGTATAATTTATGAAATTGTGTGTTTGGCACGAGAAAACCAACCAACCAAAGTTTATTGCACTAATTATTTTGGTTAGAATTCTCACCATCTGTATCAGTGTTTTTCAACTTCAGCAACTTTAAAATGACCTTGATACATACTTAGTGGTGAATTCTGGTAGTTGAAGTCCATACATCTTAAAACTTGCTGAGGTTGGGAAACACTGATCTATATGATTATTATGATTTGTCTTTTCCTCACTCTTTTGTTTTGCCCCATCATATTATGCCTCAGCTGGTGGATTTGAACAACATAGCAAGTCTTTACATGACCTGGGCTTTACATCAATCAGGCCTCCCTTTCTCTGGGCCTCTGTGACACTTGGACAGAATCAGGCTGGGAAGGGTTGAAGGAAAAGATGGGGGATGTACTACTGTGGAGTCTAGAAGAAAGTGAAGCAATAAACACTTGAGAACCATTTTTCTGTAAGGCATCAGGCTAGAAACCAGGAGACTTGTGAGTTCTAGTCCTACCTTAGATACAAAGCCATTTGGGTTGACCCTTGGGCCAGTCACTTTCTCTCAGCCCTAGTTAGGAAGCAATGGCAAACCACTGTTGAAAAACCTTGCCAAGAAAATAGCAAGGACTTCTGTAACTTATAGTTTGGTACATTTTATCAGCTCAGCTAATTGTGGATTAGTTGATAAACCAACATTAAACTATCATGGCTTAACATAAAAGTACACAGCTTTTGCCAATTCAAGAACTATCTCTGGCTTTGCTTACACTGAAAGTGGGTTTAAGACTACAAATTAACTCCTTAATTCCCAACTGTGCAACTCTGCCCCATTCCACTTTTTTTTTTTTTAAATAGGACAGTGTGAACCCAGGCAGAAAATCCCTGTCAGTAAATGTATACCGCTCCTCCCTCAAGCAGGATAAAGTAAATACCTAACCCTATTAAATACTTAACCAGTAATCTCATTGCACAACTTCCCAATAAACGTCAGCCTTTCTTAGAGCTGATGACTACTATTAAATTTAAAAGCTGTGTTCCAATGACACATTCGGCTAAAGTGCAGGTAGTCCTTGACTTACAACAGTTCATTTAGTGACTATTCAAAGGTACAACAGCCCTGGAAAAACTGATTTATGACTGTTTTTCACACTTATGACCATTGCAGCATCCCCCTGGTCCCATGATTAAAATTCAGGTGCTTGGCAGCTGGTTCATATTTATGAATTTATGATGGTTGCAGGCCCTTAGGGGTTCAAATGATCCCTGCGCAAATCAACAGGTGGAGGGAAGCAAAGCCAAGTAAAACTTTACTAAATTGAGGTGGGGAAGCAGCGGGGCTGGCTTTGACCCAACCTCCCCCATGCCAAACTGAGAACCCTTAGGAAGTCTGTAGAGATTCTCAGACATCTAGGTCAAGAGGCAACTGGAATTTCCTGTTTTTTCTTTTGAAGATGTTTTGCTTCTCATCCAAGAAGCTTCTTCAGCTCTGACAGGATATAATTTTTTATTGGCCAAGTGTGATTGGACACACAAGGAATTTGTCTTGGTGCATATGCTCTCTGTGTACATAAAAGAAAAGATACGTTCATCAAGAATCAATAGATAGTGGGGAATGGAAGGATTTATATTCCTTGCAGACAGCTGGTCATTTGCATTCTTTTAGAGCGGGGGTCTCCAAACTTGGGAACTTTTAAGTTTTGTGGACTTCAACTCCCAGAATGGGCAACTCCCCAGGTGGCTGGGGAATTCTGGGAGTTGAAATCCACAAGGCTTAAAGTTCCCAGATTTGGAGACCCCTGTTTTAAAGGGTCCTTGAAGCACTTGGAGATTTATCTGTGTCCTCAGGGTCACCTGAGTAGTGCTCCTGGGTTCCTGTAGTCTGCAATTTCCCCCCCCCTCTGCAAATCCATTCCTATTCCCACACCATTCAAAGGGTGTTCATCCCAAATTGTCTAGCTAAAAGTCTGTAGAGATTCTCAGTCAATATAAAGCAGGGGTGAAATCCAACAGGTTCTGACACGTTCTAGAGAACTGATAGCGGAAATTTTGTGTAGTGTGGAGAACCAGTAAATGCCACCTCTGGCTGGCCCCAGAGTGGGGAGGTGAATGGAGATTTTGCAGTATCCTTCCCCTGGAATGGGATGGGAATGGAGATTTTGCAGTATCCTTCCCCTGCCACGCCCACCAAGCCACGCCCACAGAACCGGTAGTAAAAATAATTTGGATTTCACCACTGATATAAACCCTTCCTTCCCCCACTATCCCGTCAGAGCTGAAGAAGCTTCTTGGATAAGAAGCGAAACGTCTTCAAAAGTTAAAAAGAAAAAACCAAGAAAGTCCAAGTTGCCTCCTGAAAAAAAAGCGCCTTTGGGACAACCCTCCGGAAGGCTTAGAGCATGCGCGCAGGTAACCTCCAGCCAGGTATGCGCTTACCTTTGGCGCAGGCGGCAACTCCGAAGCGCCCGCCCCGCTTCCACCACCCGCCGGGAGGGCGGGATCTCTCCCTCCCCCCCCCCTCTCTCTCTAGGGCAGAGTCGCTCAGCTCAAGGAGACTTCGCGGATGACCGACGCCAGGCGGGGCGAAGAGCCGTCTGCGGGCGTTGAGAGGGAGAGGTGGGGGGAGTTAAAGCGAGCTCAGTCAGCCGGCCAAGCGCGCGTTGCTGGGCGCCGGTAGGATGCGGTCCGAGTAGGGGCTGAGAGGAACGGGGACTTTCTGCGCGGGGAGAGAGAAGGCAAGATGAACGGGGCCGAAAGCATCAATTTCAGGCGGATGGCCATCCGCAGGAAATCCAGCCCCACCTTGCACAGCTCGGCCTTCGTCTTCCAGAGCCCCGCCGCCGCCGCTGCTTCGCGCCTTCAGTCCCCCTCGGCGCCCCCGAGGGAAGTGGGACAGGCGGAGGCGGCGGCGGCAGCAGCAGCAGGTACCTTCCTCAGCTTTCCCGCTGGCTCTCCGCCAGGTTTTTCTCCTTTGCTCTCCCCTGGAGTTCTGCCCTGCACTTGGCGGGTTTTAAGGTCGCTTTGCGATAAGAAAAGAAAAGTCGCTGAGGAGGAGAAAGCGGCCCCGGGGCGAAATGCCATCGAAGTCTTTTTTCCTCCTTGGCTTCCTCCCCCCCCCACTGCCTTTTAAAAGCGGCTGCAAACAGTCGGAGCGAGCGCCTTCTTGTAGCAACTCCGAGGATAAGTTCCGCCGTAGTTTTAAAAACCAAGCGAGGTATTGTATCAGGGATGGAAATAAGGACGGTTACATAAGCGGGCTTTAAGGAGCTGCACCGAAAAACACGCAGGGATTCTTTTGTCACCTTCGAATGAGGATCGTGTTGGCGTTTAGGCAGCCAGGTGCGTTTTGCTGCAGTGGGTAGCAAAAGGTGACCGTCAAACTTGTTTAAATTTGTGTGTGTGTGTGTGTTTTGCTACACTTCAAGCAATAAAATGAAGGGCACTAAACTGCCAATCTGCTTCTTCCTTCCCTTGATCCTGTCCATTTGGATCAACCTGCTGGCTGGCTTCAATGGGAGAGGCCTTTTGAAAGATGACGATCTCGGCAAGTAATGTAGTGTAAACAACCAAAAAATGCTTTGTTAAGACTTCCTCATGCTCGGTATTTTTATATATATATATATATATATATATAACTCTGGATAACACTCTGGATCACAGTGTGTACTTTTGACAGAATGGATTAGGGGACCTTTGAAAGTTTAACAGTAACAGAGTAACAGAGTTGGAAGGGACCTTGGAGGTCATCTAGTCCAACCCTCCCCCTGCTCACTCAGGAGACACCTGTACTAGGGATTCGAACTGCCGGCTTTTCTGATCGACAAGCTCAGTGTCTTAGCTACTGAGCTACCTTAAGTTAATGGATAGGATTAGTATTGTTTTAGTGTTTCTCCAGTACCACCAAATTTTATTTTAATCATAGGGTTAAAATGGCTCTCTGGTGCATTCTATTATATGAGATTCTTCCTACACTTGTCATCTCAAAGAACATTTTTTTTTCCTGATTCTGTAGGATTTACCTTTCTTAGTAAGGAATGCTGTTTAAAGTTTTTAAAAACTTCCTCCTACACTTTGGTGATCAAACTAATGGTAACCTAAACCAGTGTTCCTTAAAGTACTTGACCCAATTATTCCTTTCTCCGGATCTGGAATAATACCCTTATCCCTACAAACCAAAAACCAGCCTCTTGTTGTTTTATATAGGTGTCTTAGCAGCAACAGTAATTCCAAACTGGATCATCAACTCACAAATGAGCAGATACAAATTACAAGCAAGCAAATTGCTCCATTACCTACAGGATATGCCCAACTTACTCCCAATTTAAATAGCACTGATCTGAGCCAGTTGAAAATAAGGATGCATAACCCACCCATCCATCTCCCTGGTCTCACTTGTTCTTAAAGAAATAGGGATTTAATTTCTGTGCCAAGCTTTAACAGGTGTGTCCCATCAAACTTACAGATAGTGAACTTATGCAAGAAAGGTGAAAGTTGGAAACTGCCCTAGGTTGGTTCTAAGTTTCCAACAATTATCTAAATGTATCACAGAGAATAGCACAGGCTTATACAGGTAGTCTTCGACTTATAACCATTCATTTAGTGACCATTTGAAGTTGCAATGGAATGAAAAAGTGACTTATGACCGTTTTTGACACTTATGACCGTTGCTGCATCCCATAGTCATGTGATCAAAATTCAGATGTTTGGCAACTGGCATACAGTAGTGGCCAAAATTGTGGAAACCTTTTGGGAAAAGTGTATTTTCTAAAACTAGGTAATAACACCACTTTTTTTTTTGGAGTAGTACCATAAAATTATATATCAATGGAAAGATAATTTAATCAATGTAATGCAATAACTTTTATGAAGGATTTGCTATTAGAATAGCACTTACAGTATAAAGAAGAAAAGTGAAACACACAGAAAAAATGAGATATACAAAAATTATCACGTCAGTTAATAGTTGGGTAACCTTTAGCATGAATTGCAGTTTATGTCTTCCCATGGAGTGAACCACATTTTTTAGTTCTGCAGCTGTTATAATGTGAAATCAAGATTGAATGATTCTTCTTCTATTAATTGGGTTTTATTGCTGGGTGGATCTGACTAACAAGTTTCTTTAGTCAGCTCCATAGATTTTCAATTGGGTTAATGTCTGGGCTATTCCCAGGCCATTCCAGCAGTGGAATATGATTATCTTGAAACTCCAAAAAAAAAAAAAAGTGACGTTATTAACCATCAAACCTCAAAAATACACTTTTCCCAAAATGTTTCCATAATTTTGGCCACTATTGTATGTTTATGAGGGGTTGCAGTGCAGGACACATATGTTCACCTTTTGCAACCTCCTGACAACCAAAGTCAATGGGAAAGCCAGTCAATGGGAAACATTTAACAAGTTACTAACTTAACAACTGCAGTGATTCATTTAATTATGTCAAGGAACGTTGTAAAATGGGACAAGACTCATTTAAACAACTGTCTTAGTAACAGAAATTTTGGGCTCAATTGTGGTTGTAAGTCGATGACTACCTGTAAAAAACTGAGGCAATGGAAATTAAGACTAACCAGCTGTGCTTCAATTGATTTATAACTGTGTTATGAAAAACTCCTAATATGGGAGAGAAGTAATTGTAAAATAAGATTGTAGAATTGTATGTAGAACAAAAATGTAGAACAAAAATATCTATTTTTAGATGTGGGAAAAATAATTTTCTTTGAAAGGCACTTTATAGAATTGCTAAATTCCGTTGTGCTAGAAAGTACTTCCCCAAAATCTCTTCTTAGTAGTTGCTAAACATCAGTTTTAGTCTGTAATTATTTCTTGTATGGTTAGTTGGGTTATATTGGATGAGGTCTATACAGCTTGTACAAATCTTGATTTGTTGAACAAATCATAATTGTTTATTTAGTTTGAGCAGAACTGTAAGCTCAGTGAGAGAATTTACATCTTAAACTAAATCATCCCTAACCAAACAAATGATGTGGAATTTGCAATTAATATGGCTGAATTAAGGGATATTTTGACTAACTGCTGGTTTCTAATAAATCAAAGATGCTTGTAAGATAAAAAAGCATTTGATCAATTTTATCAGGTTGAAAGAGAAATTGATTTTTTAAAAAAAGAAATGCACACATCAGAATTTTAGGATGTGCTAGTGGATGTGAACATTTTATTATTAATCCAGTGTATGAATATTAAAGATTCTGCGTACCCACAGAGATAAAATATATATCTAGTAACAAATGGAAATATAGTCATGTTAGAACTGATATTTATGGTATTTATTATACTTTTATTATACAAGACCCATGGAAAGATCAGAAAATATTGTATTTTACTTAAGAACTTTTTAAAAAAGTTGTAAGGATTCTTATCTCACTGATTTACAAAAGATTATTGGAAATTATAGCTTACTCAGAGAGTTACAAGTAGTTCTTGCTTTGTGATAGATCGTTCGGCAACCAAAGTTGTGACGGCGCTGAACAAGGAGACTTACTGCAGGTTCTCAAAATTGCAGTTGTTGCAGCATCATTGGGGGTCATCTAATTGTGATTTGGATGCTTGCCAACGGGCTCGCAATTCCAGTTATGACAGTTGCGGCATTCCACCATCATATGATTGGCATTTGCAATCTTCATTGCTGGCTTCCACCAAGCAAAGTCAAAAAAGTCGACAAAAAGTTGCAAGTTGTAGTCATGTGACATTGCCCTTAATGACCAGAACTGAGTCGCTTAATGACTGCAACTGGAAGTGCTATCATAAGTTGGTACAGTCACATGGTTTTTTTGCTTTTACAACCATGTTGCTTAGCAACAGCGTTCCCAGTTCAGCTATAGTGCAACTTTCTGCAGTATATTTTCCTTTGGGAGAGTAATTCAAGAGTTGACTAAATCTAGTTGATTAGCTATAGGAACATTGGCCATGAGAAATATTCTAAGTGCTTCATGCAACACTTTTAGCCATCATTGCAGTTGCTTTGAGTTTAGCATGTTGTGTGATTTTAGTAATTTAGTAATTGTGGTTTATAAATAGCATCTTACGGATCAGCATTTTGTATGAACCCAGCCCAACCATGAGTTGTTCAATAAGCTAAGAGCTGATTGTGGCATGTGAACATGTGACATGTAAAAGGTTGAAAACAAAAACAGTATCAATTAAGGTTGCATCCTAGTGAGCTCAGATTTCTGATGCGAGGGAAATCTGGAATCGCAGGAGGGAAGGGCTCTTTCCAAGAGGGCAAAGAGACAGTGGAACTTGGAAGGTTTATGTCAAGCGCTGGGGAAATCTAGAGATTCAGGCAGTTCAAATGAGCATAAAAGTTTATTGCAAGCTTAAGATCTCTACAAGAATCTGAGCTACTAATGGTCAAGGGAAATTAGCAGGAGTTAAGAAAGGAATTCAAGGTGGGCTGGACTTAATAGCTCTTGTGGACACGTAGGGACTCATGACTGATGACATGTTTGACCCCTCCCTCATCTCCTGCAGTCTGGTTGTCAGAAAGAGGGTTAAAAGAGGGTTGCCTCTCCCTAGCAATTCAAAAGTATACCTAATAATTATGCAGATAAACTGCTTTAGTCTGGCAAGATTTCTGTTTTGTAGGTGAACAGCTACTCAGAAGGAACTTCACATGTGGTTCTTGGTTCTTTGGGCCTGACTATTTCTGAGTATTGTACATGCTGTTTTTCATTTGGGAAAGGTGAACAAGACCTTGGGAATGTCGCCCGATTTCACTGCTTTCTCCCTTTGTGCTCATTCACTTGCTGAACATAAATCATGTAAGGCGTTTGGAAATATGTTAGCTATTTGAATTATGGCTGCAGGGAGAGAATTTTTACAACTGCAGCATTATTGGATAGATAGCCATTATTCTGCTTCCTTCTTAAATATTCGAGTTGATCTGTAGTTTTTAAAAAAATTCAG